TTGAATCATTTTCCATTAAACTTCGTCTTGGAAACGTCTCCCTTGGTACCGAGCTTGCTCTTCCCATTATTTTTATTTTTGGAGCCTTTTGTATGCTCCACCACGTTGGCCTTGGCACCGTTAACGATTGGGAGTTTCCCATCGTTCTTCCGGTTATCCTCTTCAATCCGCAGACGGAGGATCAGTTGCTCCAAGTTCATTTCCTTTCGCTTATGCTTAAGGTAGTTCTTGAAATCCTTCCAAGCCGGCGGCAATAAATGAATAATTGACGCCACTTGGAATGAATCACTAATTGTCATTCCTTCATCTCGAATTTCGTTGAAGATCATTTGTATTTCCTCAATTTGACTCAAGACCATCTTCGAATCCACCATTTTAAAATCAAGGAATCGACCAACAACAAATTTCTTTGCGCCGGCATCCTCGCTTTTATATTTGTGGTCCAAAGCATTCCATAGCTCCTTAGCCGTAGCTAGTTTGCTATATACGTCGTACAAAGCATCATGCAGCCCGTTCAACGCCTAGTTTCGGCAAAGGAAGTCCGAATGCTTCCATGCCTCAACCGCGTTGAAAGATTGTGCATCCACCTCACCCCCGGTTGCTACCGGCGCATCCTCGGTCAAGAACCTCGCAAGACCGAGAGTAGTTAGATAGAAGAGCATCTTTTGCTGCCGCCTCTTGAAGTTTAACCTATTGAATTTCTTAGGTTTCTCCACAGAGTTGCTTGGCACGATCACCATAGGGATAGTCCTTTGGTTGGCCAAAGAAAATGCACCGCGTTGTGAACTATTGTTCACCGGTGCTCCGCTTTCAAAGTGATATTCGTTCAGAACATTATGCCCAACACCAATCTGGTTTCCTTGAGAAGTCATTTTCGTTCTTAACGTTTTCCGAAAACACAAAAAATAAGTTCGTTCACCAAAGTGACAAACTACGATTTAAGATTGTTTACCACAGTAGAACAATCAGCAAATACGTTTTAAGATTGTTGGGTGTGTTTCGGAAAATAAAGGAAATTAATTAAAATAGATTAATTAAATAAAATGACTAGAGAAAAACAAGAAAGGAGATGTAGCAGAATTAGTCAAAGCTCGTGCTACGCACGATGTTCTTAAAACGTATTTGTTTCCTCTCACGGTGCTAGGTGCGTTGCAACAATCGTTTCCTAGGATACGATGACTACGAACTAATGTTTGAGCACACAAACAAGAGTTCCAGCGAACGAGAACCAAGTATGAACACAGAAGGAATTTGCAGAGTAGCTGTAGGTGTTTTTAGCTTAAGAAATTCGTGAGGAATGTATTGTGCGTTGTGAAACAGTGTGTTTGTTGCAAAGCACCTGCCAGCCTTTTATAAGAGGATTTGTTGTGTGTTAAATGTGGTGTTAATGGACCTGAACGTTGGAGCAACTCTGATGCTACCAGAATACCTCCACCAGAGTTGGAGCGTTGGTTTCTACTTACTCATTGTTTTCAGACAGAAGGACTATGGATTTTTCTGAAATTGTTGGAATACTAGACAAATCCCCGACCTTTTTTCTTTTGTTCCAATATTTTTTTTTATAAATTGGGTCAGGTACAGCCCCCCCCCCCCCCCCCCCAATGTATTGCATTTGCGAAGCCACCAGAGTTGGAGCGTCTCTGGTCTGAAGCCACCAGAGTTCGAGCAACTCTGGCTGGGAAAAATAAAACGTTACGGGGAGAAACAAAAAATAGACCATATCTTTGAATGATAGGTTTTCGGACGACATTCGTGTCCGCAGGTCGCCCGCGCACACGAGTCGCGGTTTTTCTTCTCCGTTTCGGTATTTGATCAGAACCCCCCCCCCCCCCCTGCGCGTAAGAGAGAGCCTATACCTTTAGGAATCTTAACTCCTTAAAAGAGGCTTCCCTGTATAAGGGGGTGAAAATCCCTTGAGTTTTTCGGTGTGGGATAAAACACACTAGAAACCCACAATTTTCCCAGTTTTTCCATTTCAACGAGTGAACTTCGAGAATCAATTTCTCATTCACCCGTTATCCGTTTTGAGTGTACCACATATCGAATTGTAGTCCTTAACAAGGACAATCCGAAACCACTTTGACCTGACCCAAATCGTAAGTGGAACCCACTCAAATAATTTCCCCAAAATGACCGTTTAATGCAATTTTTAACACATTTTTCCAACAATAAGATAGGAATATTATATTGTGAATGAAGTCGGATGTTTATTGGTAAGATTTCAAGATGACACCTCCCTATATTTAGTCATGTAATTTGGTTGGACCTTCATATACAGTATTTCTGATGGATAGATGATGGATAGAGGGGTTCATTATCTACAACGTCCGTGAAGTTATCACGACTAAATTTAAAAGGTATTAAATGATATTTCATCCGCACGCACCCCGCTCATGAAGTTTGCACGAGGAAAGGAAGATGAGCTTACACCGGGTGCGGCACAGTGTGTGCACGTTGGAGAACATGGGCACTACCAGAAGACATGCATAATCGTGATCGAATTCCCCATGTAGACTTGTTGTGCATCATATATTATCATTCAGCAATTAGCAAGACTCCTTATGAAGTCGTTTATGGCCAATCACCCAGCTTACATATACTCTGTGACTCTGTGTATTTGGAGATAGCCCGGATAGAATATGTGGATAAGAGTTTGCAAGCCCTATTAGAAATTTTTTTATTTGTTGCACTTATTTGGGTTATTTTCGGCGATTTTGAATCGTAGCAAATAGGATCGCACCAATAGTAATACTACTTGTAGCAGTTGTAGATAATCACATCAAAATATACCTTTGTTTAAAACTTTTTATGTGGTTATGCAACAACCACAACAAAAAGTTTTTTTTATCAAAAAATAATCCGGCCACCTTACTCTCTTTTAATCCACCTCCTAAGGGGTTCAAACTTTCTGTGTACACATCATAGAGCGTACACAAAGTCGATATTCACTTCCAAATTGGTAAGTCATTGAAGATTCTTAGTGCATATATGTTACATATGGTATATATTCTCTAAAAATGGTTATATTATGAATAAAATGATTTTTATTGTTAGATTTTGTAATTTTTATAGTCAATACTATGTATAATATTACAATGTACGGAGTATTATTTATGTTATTCTATTAGATATTAGATCCACTGCTTTTATTTAAAACCTATATACACAATATTGCTAAGGTATTTATAATTATGAACTTGATTATTTGATGAATATAATTTTTTTCACAATGTGATACTTAAAAAGTAAATTATAAAGCACAAAAATCTGAAAATTTCTAGAAACACGATGAGCTCATTCAATGTAGACGGTTGCATAAATCTCGAAAAGTACATGGTCTTTAAAAAGTTATCCCGATCAAATACCTGAAAGAGAAACAAGGTGTATTTGTAGATGGCTAAGGTTCTAGATTACATTTCGGACAACAAAGAAGCTTGGTGGTGGGATGATGTTTCAGTTATGAAACGACAAGCTCTTGAGAAAGGTTTGGACTATGGTCACACTTTTAGACAAAGTAATTGGGCTGCCCCTTCTTTAGCTGATTTAAGCCCATCTCAGTTTACTTGTTTTACCTAGTCTGGTTAGAAAAGCGTTTTATAGTGATTTTTTTTGCATTTCTGATTTTCAATGTATATAAGTTGGGTCCGGTCTCCCCCCCCCCCCCCCCCCCCCCCCCCCCAACTATTTGATTTTTTTGTCAGGTTGTATTTTGAGAAGGAATGCCTTCTCGGAAGAGGTTTTGGTCTAGTCCCCCTCTTTCTTCTGTACTTTTTTTATTTCTTAACAAAATTTGACAAATGTTCACTGGCGTTTACCCCACCGACTTAGGTGGTTTGCCTATCGGGAGTTTAAAAAAAGTGTATTTGCAAATATCAAAAAGGCACATTTATTTGTTGTGGTTATAGCCGGAACTCCAACAAATAGATTCCGACTATAATGTACAGCAACAAAAAATTGCATTTTTCCAATAATTTCAAATACACTTTGTTTCGCGCTCGAGTATTCCATAAGTATATTTTAAAAAAAAAACACATATCTTCTGAGATCTATGCAATTGTGTAATTTATTTGAAAAACTACACTTTTCGATGTGGTTGTAACCATAATCGCAGCAAAAGGTGTGTTTTTACTAGAAACTACAAAAAATACTTATTTGATGTTGTTGTGACATGGCAGTAATAAAAAATTCAACCCGAACACCCATTTTCTGCGGTTCTTACATAACCACATCAAAAAGTCTAAAAATGTACTCCCTCCGTCCCTAATAACTTTGTCAAAAAGATTGACCGGCACGGGAAATAATAAAGTAAAAACTGTGTGGTTGAGGTTTGTGCAGAGGAGAGAGAATGAACTGGAACCACTAATTCTTTACTTAAAAGGGAAAGTGACAAAGTTAGTGGAACATCCAAAAAAAGAAAGTTGACAAAGTTTTAAGAGACGAAGCGAGTGTCTTTTTGCTAAGGTTCCCACTCAACCGCAACAAATACTTAAAAATATCTGTTAATTGCTGCGTTTTTTAGAATCACATCAAATATAAAAAATTATAGTAGTGAAACTAGAGAAGAATGCATTGAAATTTTGAAGTTCCAAGATCTCAAGTCATAATGAAAAACATTTTGAGAACGTTTAAATGACATCAAAAAGAGATAAGTGAAAATTTTAAACCGGAACAAGATGGAGTATAATCTTGAATTAATCTTGAGAATATAACAAATTGGATGGATGAAATTAAATAAAATGATCCATCCTTGCCGAGCCGCCTATGTTTAGCCAAACTACGAAGGCCCAAAACATATGGGCCAAGTTGGCCAGTATTGAAAGCTGTAGAGTTACAGTTTATTACTACTGCAGAGAAATTGAAAATGGATCGGGGAAGAAGATGGAGGTGGGAGTCCACATGTATCCATCCCTCTTTCTAGGTAATTACATTCGTGGCCATATGGCGGCCCGAAAAGTCTTAAAGTGCTCCCTTTTCTTTTGCATCTTTTCTCTTCTTCCCCCATGTCCGGTTTATATACGCTAACAGAACGCGAAGATGGGAGTTTGACCCGGGGTCCATTCCATTAGCTAGACCTCACCCGCACTACGGTATACCTCCATCCACCCAACAGCATCATCGCTTCTTCAGAAAGAACCAAAACCTGAGAAGAGGCGGCGACTCCCTCCAATCACCTAATTTTATTCCGACGGACAGCGACCAACGATGGCTGATCGGCAGGCTGACGTCGACTATCTGTTTGCTGCTCTCAAGAGCGCTATTCGCCAGCCACCTCCTGGTAAGTGTTCTTGAGTGCATCTGGACTGTGATTTGGGGTTGTTTGCGTAATGAATGTTAAATTAACGGCGGAGGGTGTTGAATAGCTGCTAGCTGCATTGACGTTGACGACACTGAGGAGGACGAGGAGGAGGAAGATGATTATGACGAAGACGATGAGTACAGGAGGATCGATGATGACTATGGACAGGCGGAATTGGCATGCCCGTTTTGTTCGGATGACTATGATGTTCTGGGATTGTGCTGTCATATTGATAGTGAGCATCGTGTGGAGATTAAATCCGGGGTAAATATCTTACTTTCGACCTCCTCTGTAAAGTTATGACGTTTCTAAATGATGCAATGTTTGGTTTATTTCTTGTATTTAGGCCGAGTTAGTCAGTTTTTTTCTCTATGCACAATAGGGATCAGGGTATTCTTTAAGGTTGGGAGTTTAGCTACTTAAAAGCTTGGTTGTACTTTTTAAAGCTGGAAAGAAAGAAAAAGTGAGGAAAGATGAAATTCTGTGGGCACGAACTTAATAGGTGGAACCCATTGAAACACCTAAGAATTGTGTGAACATGTGCAACTGTGATGACTAAGGCGTTCCTGTTCCTTATCAAGTCCAGGGGAGTAATAAATTGTATGGCTAGACTGCTAGAGACCACGTTGTGTGGAGCCTTGTTTTTTAGAAGCTAATTTAGGCAACTGAATGAACTGATAGAAGCATGATGGGAATATAGGTGGCCTATAGAAGAATGAATGGAGTGAAGTGATTATTTTGCTTTCGAACCCACCATCTAAACCCCTCAGAGGCACTTATTGACTTGGTACCAATTGACTGGTTAGCTATACAGATTTTCGCTCTCGGTCGGTGCCCTTTTTCAGGCTTTTTTGTGAAATAAAAATGAATTACTGAACCTTGTTTGAGACCTTATCATGTATAGATATATGTTTCCTTTTGGATTGTTAATGGTAGGATTGACGTCATAGTTTAACTATTATTTTTAGCTCCATATGTTTCTGGTATGACTTCATAATATACTACCCCCCCCCCCCCCCCATTTATAACTTTATACTAGTATATGTTTTGAAAAGACATATGAGCTGAAAATATGCTTGCTGATATGAGTTTGTTTTGTAAGGTACATTGTTCGATTCTTAGAATGAAAAATTACAGATTGGCAGGTCGATGCTCTGTCTCTTTACAATCAAATTCCCCTTTTTCCATGCTAATTACGAATGAATGCTGATGAACTATCGAGTACTCTGTTTGTAATATTTAGCATTTAAAATTGTATTATGAATGAAGTTACTTTTGTTTTCAGATATGTCCATTCTGTGCTTCAAATGAGGGGATGAGCATGGCTGCACATGTGATTTCACAACATGAAAATATCTTGAGGATATCCTTTTGTCCATTTCACACTTGTTTTTCAAATGTTTGTTTGTCACATTAGAGTTTATTAATGATTCATATGTGATTCACTAAATCACTCATGTTCTTTTTTTGTTGCTTTAAACCATCATACAGACCCCTAATATGCTTGGTTTTTTCCCTTCAGTTATTGGGCTTAGAGATTTAGGTCTCTCATCATTTAATGTGTTAATGTTTATATACTTTATATGACCATGTGTTTAGGCTTAACATATTTGGGGGCTAAGATTTTCTGAGCATGGCAAGTTCTTAGACATTTCCATTAGTAGAAAAAGAAAAGTTAAAAAGAGAACTGGGAAGAGGTCCTATTCTGTAAGTGATACCATTTGATAAGTTGCCTCACCCTTTCCCCCCTATAAGTGTTAGTATTATTTAATTTACATCCTATTTATACTCGTAAAGTGTCTTGCTGACTCTATACCTTCAATTTGTAAACAACAGAACTGTTGATACTCTCTTTATACTAAAGTTATAGTTCTAGAGTCTATACTCTATACCACCATATCAGTATAGCCCCCCTGGTGGATGACTATACGTTAATGTCTACCATACCAATTTTTTATTTTGGATTGAAATAATGATGGACTATAATTTGGTGGACTTGACAAATTCTAACGCTCTTGCTAAAAAGAAGCTTCAGAACAACAGAGTGCATTCAGGTATATCGTCGCTGAGGAAAGAGTTGCAGAATTTAAATTTGCATCATCATCTCAAGGAGTTCAGTCGATCTGATTCATCCTCAAATGCTGGTGCTGGTGGTGATAGTATGATGCTATCATTTGTCAACAACCAACAATCATCTGGCAGGGTTGAAACCACACCAGTTAAAAAGACAGATCAAACAAGCTTACTTGAAACAAGTGAGGAAAAAATTATTTGTGAGAGGTAACAAAACTGACTTTGTTTCAAAACTGCACTGCTGCTCTTGTTGCCATGTCTAGTGATCATGTTCACATGAAGTTAAATGGTTAAAGACTGACTTTCCTATATTATGTGTATTCTCCACCTAGAAGTTTAAAGGGAAGTGGTTCTTTGACTAACTTTAGGGAAGGATAGACTCACAAAAGTACTGTCTGTAAGTATATCTGATGTTAATATACATTAATTTAATTTTTCTTAGATTTTCATTACGTAAGCTATATTCTAGAAGACTGATAGAGAGATTAAGGCTCTGTAAGTTTTTGAGTTGTTTTAATTTTGTGTTCGGAAACACATTTTCCCTGGTTTTTTGGATAACTGGATGTATGCAAAATAAAGTTTCTCTTTTAAAAATGGGAGCAATTTTCCCGAGACAGATTTTCTTCTCGTGTGGTAGTGGTAAACGCTAATTTAGAACAACTTATTTTTCTCTAAAATTATTTTTACAAATTACTTTCCTATAATTATAAATTATCTCTTTTTTTTAGAGAAATCATAAATTATCTTAATTTAGAAAGGAAGTTGCAATTCAGAATGACTGTTACTAAGTAATTCAGAGCTTGGTCTGAGACCTTGCTCAACAATTTTTTGTTGCCACCTTTTTTATCTTCTTCAATTATCATAACATCTACTTCATTTTCCAGTAGATAACTGCTGCCCAATTTGTAAACTCTGTACGTATCACTCACTTATCTGTTCAGTTTGATTCATTGCAGAGGTGGCCAAGTTGCTAGTAGAATGGACAAGAAGCAAGAGGAGAAGCTCCAAAGATGTGAATTTGTGCATGAGATATTGTTATCTACCATGCTGGATGACTTTTTATGAGAGAATAAGGACACTCTTATGCCCGGAAGCAATCAATCCTTTGCATATGCTAAGCTTGGAGGATTCTTGATTAAATGAAGCAGTGTGCTAATACATTAGCAACAAACCAATATGGTGCAAATATATTGTAATCTGATCGACTAAAAGTTGATCAGCTTGAGAAGTATAGCAATCCCCCAAGCCCTTTGAAGCAGCCCCTGCTCTGTTATTCTTTCTTTGTTTGGCTCTAGCATAAGTGTCTGATTAGAATCACAATGATATTGTAATTGGTGACTACGGGTACGAGATGCACTCCGTATATTGTAAGTCACTATTAAGAGTTCAAACCAAAAATACATTATCTTTCTTAGTTTTTAATTAAATAAGTATTAGTTGTTGCTGCAAATTCAGGTGCAATCTCTACAGCTTCTTTAAACATCATATATCTAGATTTTTTTATTTGTTACTAAAGTTCGATTTCTAAGTTTGAATTGTGAATGTAGTATCTTGTAGCTTATTATCTGTGATATATTAGGCCATTATACTTCACAAAATGATGCAAGAAAGACCAGTGTCCAGTGCCTAGTGGTGGACACAGGACTGGTTGCGGTGTGGTTATGGACTTGCGGTTCCATATTGGTCAGTTCTTGGACCTTCCACCCTAAATTTGGGCACCGGTCTGGTTCTGGTTCGAGATTAATTTTTAGTCTACTATTCAAAATATAAATAAATTAAAATAAAACAAGACTGGTGGTTCTAGTCTTCTAGACTGGGCAATGATTCCGATTCAGTTTTGGTTGGACTGGTTCTGGTTTAGTTCAGTTGTCGGATTGAGTCCACCCTAAACATGTTATTAAGCGTGAGTACATATTTGGATTTTGGACTAAAACCGAAACCAATATTGGTGGTTCTAGAACTGAACCAGTCCATCCATGTACGGCTGTTTGCTTATTGGTTTATTTTATGTGATGTACTTGCTAGGATTCTATAATACCTTTCATTACATGCTTATGTTTAGGGCCAAAAGAACTTCTTGTATCTAGAGACTGGAGTAGAGGTAGAGTATGCGCATATCCCATCCCTAGACCTAACTTCCGTTTGGGATATACAATGTTTGGCTTCATAATTCTAATAGAAATTGGTGACTGCAGGTACGATATGTGGTCTAGGACTCTAGGGACCAGAAGAGATGTGGTCTACGTAGTCACCAATTACAATATACTAAAACTTATGGTCTAGGGACCAGAAGAGGTGGTCTCTGGATAGGAATTGGTTTTCTAGAGATTGTAACTGGAATATCTTAAAAAGTAAAGACAGAATCACAAGTTCTAAGAACCATAACCAGGATCAGCCAGCTAGACATGATTTTCATGAGGTTCTAACTTCTTCAAAACAGGTGCATCCATAAATATCATGGGTCCAGAATCATGTTCTCATCTGGTATTATTGTTTAACAAAGGTTGTTCAAGGCTGTTGACTCTTTGAGGGGCTCATAAGGCGAAATTTCCACACATAAAATTTATTTTGAAATTTTAAAAAGAAAAACAAAAATCAAATGTATAAGGGAATCTGAATTAAGTAATTAACCAAGCTACATCTCAATTTTCACAAGTATCACGACTCATACTTGCACTAATCTTTTTGGAACTGAAATAATAATAATAAATTAAAGAAGGAAAGTTTACAACATGGGGTCTGTTTAAGGTTTTAAATAATCTTATACTGAGACGCACTTGATACAAGTATAAATTTTTATGTGCAGTATGTAAGGTACAAAATGTTCCAAAATTTTCGACACTATCAGGGTGATTTCCCAAGAACTAATGGCCGCATTTGGGGAAACATTCTCCTACTTTTTAAACGCAACTATTAAAAGGACACAGTGACACATAAAAACTGTGTCTAAACATTTACTCTCAAGTTTCCAGTGCTGTTGTCATCTCCATTGAGAATTATGTGAGATGAAAAATTGGTAATCAGGAAGATACACCTGCAAATCCCGAAGCCAACTCACAGCAGCCTGCAAGAGATTGTTTCCTTGCTCAGATTCATGGGGTCCACTTGGACTAAGAAGAGATCCACTCAGTTTGTATGAAGCAAGGCCAAAAGCTGGTAGAGAAAATTTTGATGAAGCAGCTTTCCTTCCATTAGTTTTCCTATCTCTTGAGCTATGAAGTTGAGGTGTAACACGACCTAGGGCCAAGTGCCATGATGAAGAGAAAAAAGGCAGTTTTCAGGGTCTCTTTGAAACTCAGATAACGCTAGGTAATTAATATGAAAGAAATCATAGACAAAAACTATAAATATAAGAAAATGTGGAGGAAAGAAAATAAAAGTTAGGCTAAGGCCCAATGAATTTAGTTCAGATCCTGTTGATAATAATTTTATTACTTAATGTGTTTATTTTGGTTTTCCATCATTTGCAATGGAGCCAAAGATTCATTATTTTTTGGCTTGAGATTATGATGGAATAAAGCAAAATGGCTCACTAAACTGTCTGCGCTTCTTTGTTATGAAGCACCAGTCAGTCCATGCAATTTTGGACGCGATTTTCACTATGGGTCATCCGGAAACAGTCTCTCTGTGCTTTAGTGAAGGGGTAAGACTGCTTACATCCGACCCCCCCTTAACCCACCGTAGGTGGGAGCCTTTACAGCACTGGGGTAAATGAAAATGATGAAAATGAAAATGAATGTGTTTATTTTGGCATTTTGCAGACTAGCAAAATGAAATAATATGCAAGTGCAAATCAAATTTCATTCCCCTTTCCCAAGCATTTCCCGGGATCCAAACATTCCCTTAGGGTATGATGGAACTATGTAAATGATAATTTAATGGAGAGAAGGCATGGGGAAACAAAATACTCCGTATTTCTTAAACTCCATAAATCAAAATTAGAATTTGCTCAAACTCATTTTATGTACTCATTGCAACGAGTGTTATATAAAAAGATAAGAAATCTAAATGTATGTCAAAACTAACAAAAACTGATTTTCTTTTGTGTTTCTGAAGGTAAAATCAAAGACAAACATTTTCTTGAGTTCCAAACATAGCCTTAGGAGAAGCGGAAAAAGTTCCAATGCACATGCAAATATAGAGAAGAAGGAGGCACCTTGAGATCGTGTGGACAGGGTATGAAAAGTTAAAAAAGATGCATCCAAATCCCGAAGCGTTTGCCCTATGGGTATTCTATATATTGGATACCTGCAACAAACTTTTTTCGTAAAACTAAATCTCAAATAGTTCACAAACAAATATACATATACTCCATGCATTAAGCAGAACAATACCAAGCAACAGAAATCCAACTCGATGGCATCAAATCACAACTCCGGCACTTCTTCAACTCTGGAAATTGAGATGCCAGAATTGCAACCTGTTACATGCATGAGAAGTGAGAATTACCCATCTCAGGACTCATGAATGAATAGATAGACACATTCATTCAGTCAGTCAAAAACTATTAAGTGCCTGTTCCGATGGAGGGTTCTGAAGGGATTTGGAGGGAAGTCTTTCGAATGATAAGTTTCTATCTTGATTCTTGATAAATACATAAAGGTTGTTTTTAAAAATACATAAAGGTGGTTAAAATGTATAATGTCATATACTTGGCATTATGTATGGACTTAGGAGTTCTTCCTCCAATTTACTAAAAAATAATAATTGGAAAAAAATGTTACTACTCTTAGATTATTCCAAAAACACACTAACTATGCCGCTATTAATATGCCACAGCGAGTGACAGAAACACTGCCCATCACTGACCTCACACCGCCAGTAACAGCACCCAACATGTCACTGTCACTAGCGCTGACTTTTTGTAGTGACTTTTCTATAAAACTCCAGCAACAAGCGGCAGTAGGCTGGAGTGAAATTGGGAGGTTGGTGTGCGAGAGAGAGAGATACTTTAGTCATATTTTATCACCTTTTTGGAAATTTTAATCGCAGTCCTATTTTTGTCCAATGCAAAGCTCAAAGATATGTTCTCACCTTCATTATGTATTAATCTTTCAATTTTTATATCATACCATATGTATGTTCATATATATCATTGTTGTTAAGATCGCTACTCTACTCATTAGATCGTCCAATCTTACGAGTAGGGTGTTTTACGGCAATCCAAATAGTGCTTTTACAATGGGAAACTATGGTGTGATCGTGGGATGGATGAGCTAGAGCGTAGAAACACCGGATCTGCATTTTGGGTAGATCTGCGCGAGAGAGGATCTCATGTCAGGTGAGCTACTAGATTGTCGAAGAGTACCGAAGGAAAAAATGTTCGGCACGAAGCATCAGCATCGCGGGAAGTTCATAAAAAAGGAAACAAATATAAACTTACATAAAAGGCGGCATAAGAGGAAAATTAAAAAATTAATAAGGAAATAAAAACTTACCAAGTGCCTGTATCAGAACTCTAAATTAATGTTTCAATGTTAAATGCCAACTAGTTCTATTGCTTCTTCAAAAGTAATTTTCATTGGAACTCTTCTTTCTCTCGTTTTTATTTGGTTGTTCAAGTCCTTTATTTCACCTCCGAAAATAAGTCTTGTACTCCGTATTATATAGTCATGACATTATGTAATTTAAGTTATTACTACGTAATTGTTATTGTTATTCTTATTATGATATATAAGAACTTTGAGTATAAGGATATAAATATATAAATGTATTTGTTATAAACTTTACATGATAGCTTGCATTCTAGGATATGTGTGTGTGTGTTTATAAATACACACACATACAGGGGTGTATGTGTATTGTGTATTTGTGTTCAGATATATATTAAATAATTAAATCTTGCAAAACCCTCTATCCAAATAGATTCTGAGTGCACTTACCTTGTCAGCCAATGGTCTACGGTGGTGTGGTTGTTCATGTTCCATATACTCAAACAAGAGTTGACCGTTAGATTTGCCATTTCCAGCTTCTACACCAGAAAAGCTCATACTGGTTTCTTTTTTAGAGATGTTTCCGTTTGGTAACTCGTCAGTAGCATCTTTCTTATCTACTTCACAGTTACTGCTGACGCCATTGCTCATCTCTCTAGTTTCAAAATCCTTTTCTTCACTACCCCTCCTAAAGAAACAACACTAAAATGTTCACAAGAAGCAATGCGAATATATTTGATAGCACCCCAGCAAAAAACAGTATATTCTAAAACAAGTAAAAAATCTAAAGATATGTTTTCAGACACCTGACCCAGGTTATCTCATAACGAATCTCAGGTCGAAAATAAATGAATTATCAAGTTAAAAAGCTTCCTAAATTGCACTTGAACAAGAAACGCTATTTCCTCAATTCAAAACCAATCATGTATCCACTGGAACTCCTTTTAGACACTCTCAAAAGTCTCGCAATAAGGTCAACCACAAAGAATTTAAGTAGCAAAGCTTTTAATAATTGACGTTCCCCTATGGATCTTTTTCTTAGACGTGACATAAGTGATGACATAACCTAGCATTAAAGCATGATGTGCTAAAGTCATGCAACTTTTAATACTCCATACCTAGATATTACCTCTCAACTTCAAAAACACATGAGATAATATGCCACAGTTTTTTGTTATTATGTGAAACTGTAGCGGTGGTTTGCAACAATGATTCTATTCTTTCACATGCATGTAGGTAATATAACTTCCCAAATGAAGTATTAGTGATAATTGAATGGTAAGATAAAAGCCACATAAAACTAAGTGAAATGGTGATATCGTGATGGCCTATCATGGCTTAAGTGATGTATATATTGATGATATGAAGAAAATATGAGTCAGCCTGCAAAAGTCTTACTCCCTTATCCCAAAAAGTCCTATTTGAAAACTTAATTTTATTCGAAAACTGTATAACTAGAATTGATGATTTCCGAGAGTTGAACCTTATTAAATTTAAATAACTGTACCTTGGTAACACGTGACTGTTTTTTCGGGACAGAGGTCATATTAACTTAGAAATTAGAATCATGAATCAGGACTACAGCTCAGAATATGTTCACATGCCACAATTAGCATTAGCAAACAACTTATAAAGAGTTAAAAAATAAAAATATTGGTTAGCAACAAAAAAAAATACTGATGAAGATCTAAGAAAAATGATATGAGGATCAAATAACTGCGAAGCATCACACTACACAGAAGTTTACCTAATGCAAGAAGAAGATGTCATCGGATCATCTACATACAACTGTATCCCAGACAAAAAGGGAACATAATACTGTACAACTTGGTCTTTTCCTTTCAACAATAGGGGCACACCCACTCCATATGCACTCCACTCACTAAAGGATTCCCAAAGATCCTCAAGGCAAAAATATGCACTTGAATCCGCTTTATCAGTTATTCCTCCTCTCACATTAACCTGAACACACAAAGCCACTAATGATCAAAACAAGAATAGCAATGGTGACACCATAAACACGGTGATTCCAGTATAACTCCAAAAGCATTCATTTAATATGAATAGTGTGTGTACTGTGTACTTATGAAGAAAACAGAGTAATTCAAAGTGAGATGCCAAAAATTGACAACATCAACAACAAGGCAGCAGTCTCCAACATAGCCAATGGAAATAACTTGACTAACAATCACTACTTTGATAGGATAGGAAGACATTAATTAATAAATAAAAAGTAGTCATTTTCAGGGCCTCATTATCAAATAATAACATGGTCACTCGATTTTTTTCTCCGAGTGCCAAACCCTAGTTCTTTTATACCTCAGAAAAGTGTCGAGCTGACAACAAGGGAGTAACCGATTCCAGCAAGCGATCCAAGTTGGTGACTTTAGTTGACCGCTCTGGCGGAGATGAAGAGCAAGCTGATAACTTTTTAGCCAATGCCGTCACCGAATCGTCAAATTGAGCCGGATTCCCATCCTCAGCCGACGCAGAAGCAGCTGCCTCGGCTTTCACGGTTGTTCTCTGCAACAGCTGCTGCTGCTGCTGGAGTTTCATGAGCTGCTCTTGCTGCTGCAACAGAATCTGCTGGTGCTGACGGCGTACCGCCGGCGGGCTGTAGAATCTGTCTGCGCCGTGACTCCGAGAAACAGCAAAGCCTCCAGAATTGGACATTTTGATTTCTACTCTTCCACGGAACCCATGTATGTAACACAGGTGCTTATGTATGCATGTCGGTATCAAACATAGTAGTCCGTGTGTTTTTAGTCTTACAGATTAAACTAATGTATAAAAGCTCAGTAAATCTTTGGAGTCTGATTAGGGTTTTTTGAGGTTTTGATGATCTTTAGAGGCAAAGTACGGCTGCCTCACTGATTTGGCACATTTATTCAGTGATGATAAGACGCACTGGGCAAACAGAGATTAGAACCAAGTAGTTGGTCTCCTTGATTAAGTAATTAATTAATGCCACCGCTTATGGTTAACAGGTTAAATACCATAATACCATTTGTATTTTATAATAAATATTTTGTGTATAAACTTTTATACTATTACAAATTAATCACTCAAGGATTTTTATAAAAAGGTGTCATATAGCTATACTTATCTTGAAAAGGTGTCATATAGCTATACTTATCTTGAAAATCCAATCATTTTTCTAGCTTTTGACCTACTATAACATGTTATTCTATTTTAAAACTAAGGCAATTGATAAATTGCATAAAAATCATATAAATTGTAAAAACATAAAATTTAGCAAAATGTCAAAGTAGATAAATAATTTAAAAACTTTAAAATAAAAATTAAAATAATTAAAACCACAGCCTAACTTAAAATGTAAAAATAAGAATTGAAAATGTTGATTATACTAATAACTCCTTAACACGCAATTTAAATGGGATGGAATGTTTTTCAAAATAAGCTTGTTTCTCTGATATTTTTAGAAAATTAGTGCTTAAGTGATGAATTTAAAATATTAAAGTGTCAATTTGAACTTTTCCCATCTATGGTATGATCTCATCAGTTCACTTGTTAAAACACACTTGTAAAAATATTTTTGTGTTTTCTAGATATACAGAATTAATACAAATACAAAACATGCTTAGGACCATCATTATCATGATTATCATGGTCACCTATATTCACTATCAACCGTCACCACCGACTATAATATTATCATTAATCATAAGTACATTTGATTAGAAATATGATAAATGGTTGTTATATGCATCTTGATATATAAATCCTAGTTTATATTCATAAAATATGAGTTCGGAATAAATTAAAATACATTGAGGGATAACTTTTTTACCGATGAGTTCTATATAATGATTACGAGGCATAGTTAAGAAAGTTGAAAAGTGATACACTTACCTAGTAGATAATACTAGACGTTGAAAATTCTTGCACTAGTATATATGACAACATTTGACGCATGTTAGGTGACTTGAAATCTCACAAGAAATATATGTTATGAAAACAATTTTTGTTATTCACTAGGCTTGGACACTTTGATCAGGCAACTAGCTTTTATGGATGAGATGCAATCACTTCCCCCCACGTAATTTATATACTTCTATGTTTTACTATTGTTCAATGAATTGAGATCCCATCAAAGAAAACTTATTCAAAACAAAATGGTAACGGTCTTATTATGTGCAATGACGAGTGTCTTCGAGGAAGAAAGCGATCCATTTGTGTAAATTAAGTCATGACATGAAGGCACAACTTCCCCATATTATGGTTTTCATATTTGATTGCGATGTTATTTCTATGTAAATGCAACTTTAGGTTATTTAGACTAAATATGCTCTGAAATTTCACTCAATCTACACAAATAATTTATTAAATTAATAAATTCTTACCTTGTGTTGTAACTGAATCAAGAAATATTATCTCTTTCCCGCATTCCTTTTGTTTGTCTACTTCATCCTTGTGCGTTCACTCATGGAAACTTCACCAACGCCACTCTTCTTTACTGCAAGGTTACTACTTATGATCACTTGTGGAAGCTCAACCATCATCGTTCCTTATCATTATTGCGGTTTTACTTAAGATACTCATTGAGCATGTCACCACCATATATATCGCATAATTAAATAAAGCATTCACTGGTGCAAAAAGGGCCTTTTACATCGATTAAAATAGACTTTTAACATCAGAGGTTAATCAGGTCTTCGTTGCCGCAATGTTCACTACTAGAAAGAGGCTAATTAGAAAGGAAGGAAAATTCTATTTAAATCATCTAAATTCCTCTCTAAATGCTTTAGCTACAAACTCACATAGGATGGGTAGTTCCTCTCTAAAACCTCCCTTGCTAATTCATAGCTCCTATCAATTTTCCTTTCTAAAAAAAGGACAGGACATAGTAGGGTGGTCAATAGAAAGGAATTGTGTTCCTTGCAAAATTATATTTTAATAATATAATTTCAAAAAAGAAGGAACTTAATTTCAATATAAGAAAATGCAAAAAGAAAATGTACTAAATAGAAAGGAACTCAATTCCTCTCAATATTTATATATATACGCTCACATGTGTACAAATACATACATACGGAGAATACATACATACACATATTTATACACACGTATACATATATATAGATAAACAGAGACGCATAAAACAACATTTTAATAGGCTGCTTATACTAGTACTAAGCAAAGACCCCAAACAAAGATGAATATTCAACTAATTCAATGTATTCATCAATCTTACATCAACCAACATTTCAAAATAAGGCACACCTACTAGAGTTCAAATGTAAAATTGGATAAATTATTAATACAAACACTTGGTGCGATCTACCTCATCGTTTTCACCTCCATGCTCAGTCTGATTCAGCCCAGTGTTGCTAGTATGGATTGGGTTTGTAGGTTGTGGCAGTAACATACTCATGAAAGAACCATAATGATGTTGTTGCAGAAGAACATTTATATAACAGATTGTTGTTGAGGTTGTTGAATAAAACTCATGACCAACGTTTGCTGAATGTTTTGAGACGACAACAGATGTGTGAACGTATTTTGCGGTGGCTGGAGGAAAGTCATCCTACGTTGCAATTGGTCAATGGTAGCTGAAGCAGTTTCTTTAAATTGCATAAGGTCTTTGTTTGATTCAAGAAGAGTATTGCTGGATTTTTCAAGTTCACTCATGTGTTGCTTTCATAAGCTATCTTCATATGATATATGTGAATTGATGTGCTTATATTTTACACACTTTTTAGGCTTAGTTTGTTGATAATTTTAGTTAGTAAAGTCGTACTTTTGTACATAATTTTATTATTTATAGTTAATTTGTATTAGTGCGGTCATATGCGTGTATTTTGTATTTTCAGGTACTGTTGATGTTATTTGGATACATTTAGCGTGAAGAAATGAAGAAAATAAAAGTTCAAGTCGGAGGATAACAAAAGTGGAATTTCCTTCAAAACAAATAAGGAGTAACTTGGAGAAAAATAGCAAAATGTAATAATGGTTAAGGTGGGATTCAAACATGGGTCAATTGGACAAGGACTAGACACACTCAAACAATGAGCTAAATGAACAAGTTGAAGGTTTTTGTTGAAAATTAGTATACATTGCTTCAGACGCAGCATTGAAAAAAAGAAACAAAAGGAAGAGTCCGGGTTTTGAAACCGCGACCTCAAAATCTATGTATCACTCCCGTCACCACTGCACCACTATGTCTTGTTAAAACATTCTCGCGCTTCCTTATACATAAACTTATCTCTTCCGTAAATTCCAGGAATTGATGATTAATCACCTTATCATTATATTGCCTTAATCCATCTTCCTCCACACATAATCTCGAGCCAACCTCTCTCTAAACATCCCAGAAACATTTCCTCTTCCTTCTCTCTTCATTTCTCAACTCCAAATCATCAACCCATCTTCAACCACAATTAATCACTTTCTCATTCAAGATTAAGTCAAGATTAGCATCAAAGCTCCAAGGATTGTCATCTACCACAAGTTTGATCTTCCTTATCTCATTAAATCTTGTACTTTAATCATGGATTCATCTATTTCTATGCTTCCCAACATGTATAGCTAAATAAATTTGGGGCTAGAAATTGGTTAATTAATTGTTCTTATCATGTTTTAATTTGTATTGATTTTAATTGTTAAGTTTGTTCTATTTAGATTGTTGTGTCCAAAAATTAATTATGTTGTTTTTGTGATATATATTATGAGTACTCGATCATAAACATATTGTTTGTTAAATACACAAATGAACACTTTCTGAACACACCGTTAAACTTCTTTTACCTTGTCCCGGATTGAAGTTTTACGGGAGAATTTAATTATTTAATTATATTATTTACACCACGGGGTTGGGTAAATAATATAGTTAATAATTAAGGTTGTCGTTGCACTTAAACAACTAGTCTCATTTTGGTCATCACTGGAAAATGTTGACTAGTTACTTATTTTAGATGACTTGTGTTGGGTCCTAAAATATTTATCTACAACTTCTCACAATCTATCTACGAACAAAATTAGCAATTATGTCTTTCAATTAAACATTGAACAATTAGTTACCAATTTCTACCCCTTCTTGCTATTGGTTGAACTTTGTGTTGTTGATAAAAATCTCTCCTCTTCTTCTTCTTCCTCTTCCTCTTCCTCTTCCTCTTCCTCTTCCTCTTCCTCTTCTTCTTCTTCTTCTTCTTCTTCTTCTTCTTCTTCTTCGTCTTCGTCTTCTTCTTCTTCGTCTTCTTCTTCTTCGTCTTCTTCTTCTTCGTCTTCTTCTTCTTCGTCTTCTTTGTCTTCTTCTTCGTCTTCTTCTTCTTCGTCTTCTTCGTCTTCTTCTTCTTCTTTTTCCTCCTCCTCCTCATCCTCTTCTTCCTCTTCTTCTTCTTCTTCCTCCTCTTCTTCTTCCTCCTCCTCTTCTTCTTCCTCCTCTTCTTCTTCCTCCTCTTCTTCCTCCTCCTCTTCTTCCTCCTCCTCTTCTTCCTCCTCCTCTTCTTCCTCCTCCTCTTCTTCTTCCTCCTCTTCTTCCTCCTCCTCTTCTTCTTCCTCCTCCTCTTCCTCCTCCTCCTCTTCTTCCTCCTCCTCTTCTTCCTCCTCCTCTTCTTCTTCCTCTTCTTCTTCCTCTTCTTCTTCTTCTTCTTCTTCTTCTTCTTCGTCCTCCTCCTCCTCCTCTTCCTCTTCTTCCACCTCTTCTTCCTCCTCCTCCTCTTCATCCTCCTCCTCCTCCTCCTCCTCTTCCTCTTCCTCTTCCTCCTCCTCTTCCTCCTGATTCTTGATTTTGAGCAGTAGATGAAGAACCTAACCCGAAAGTATCATAAAACATTGTTTCATACATGCCATTTACTTCTGCACCATGGTCTGACATGTCATTATCATTTTAACTTAATTGTGGGATCTCTTCACCATGGCAAGTCCAATGCCAATAGTCTTCCTCAA